GAAAAACAGGCGTGCGATAAAGGGGGGATCCAGCCTCGGCGAGCGGTGATGAGCTGCCGCCGCCATTCCATCCAGCCCTGGTGAGTTGGGCGGGGGGGAGTGTTCTGAGGTGGGACTTAGGGGAGACGGCCAATGGAAGCTGGGAAAGCTTCTGACGGACAGTTCAACCGTTGAAACACTGTTGGTGCGCATTTTCTCTCCGCTGTGTGACTCTGCGTCTTATTCAATTATATATAAGGAAGAGATTCCCCAGAATCAGTTTAGTTTATCAATTATATTTGGAAATATAATGTCAAGAACAAATTGTTAATGAACTTTATTTTGGTTATAGTGGGTGAGGGCCTATAGAATTGATTATTGTGTCTTACTGTAAACTTGGCATGCTGTGTTATGTTGCTGGATACAATGTTTTGTTTTGATCAGTGATTCTTTTAGGAACTTGCTATGAATGTTCTAGGTCACCTAGATATATACTTAATTTAGTTCTCTTTTTCTTTTCTCTGTATGCATTTTCAGGTAGAGATAGAGAAGCTGGACTATCATCACTATTTACCACTGTTTTTCGATGGTCTGTGTGAGATGCAGTTTCCCTATGAGTTCTTTGCTCGGCAAGGTATCCATGATATGCTAGAACATGGGGGGAACAAGATTCTTCCTGTCATTCCTCAGCTCATTATTCCAATAAAAAGTAAGTGTGCATGTGAGCGAAAGAGCTAACTTTTGTTCAAGTTACATTATTTAGTTCTTGACAAGTTGCTAATTAAGCACTACAACTTGACAGGCTTTGTATTTCCAGAAGATGATGGTAAATCTGAGTAAGTTGTGAGCTAGAGACCTAAAGGCTTTTGCCTTCAATCATATAATTTGTGCCCTACTTCCATAGAACTGCACTGTCTGCCTTGTCTTTTTCTCATTAGAATGTCATTCTTAGTACTTAGAAATTAAATTGTTTTTTTAAAAAACTCATCCAACTACCACATGAAAAATCACAGTGAAGAAGAAAGCAACAAAAGAAGCCTCAACGATTTTAAAGGACTTTTAACTTTGTGTTGTTGTTGTTATTATTGTTATTAAGCATCCCAGTGGTGTTTCTTCCCAATCTTACATTGTAATCCCCCTGTATAGATCCATGGTGCATCCTCTGTATACTGTGTACCATTCTGGTCACTGTTATTTCAAAAAGGACATTGCAGAGCTGGGAAAAGTACAGAGGAGGGCAACCAAGATGATTAGGGAGGTAGAGCACCTCCCCTATGAGGAAAGGATGAAGAGTCTGGGACTTTTCAGTTTAGAAAAGAGATGACTGAGGGGAGACATGATAGAAGTTCATAAAATTATGCATGGAGTGGAGAGAGTTGACAAAGAGAATTTTTTCTCCCTCTCCTGAAATACCAGAACTTGAGGGCTTCTGTCCGGTCCCCCACAGCTAAAAGTCCAATACACGTTTATACAAAGTAGTATTTTATTAAAGCCATGATAGAGCAGGAACAAGTTCACTGTCCAGAATACCTGGGTCAGGGTGGGCAAGGGATAATGTAATACATTCAAACAGGACATTAACCAATAATCTAGGTTCCCGCCGAGCGGGCAGATCCTGGGTTTGCGCTCAAAAAGCCTGAGAACCAACGTTCCCTAAAACATAAACAATTACAGCTTCACACGGTTGCAGTTCATTATACTTCAAGCTAAGCAGCTCCTCCTCACACCTGTTAACCTTGCTGATAAGCATTGCCTAGCGTTTACAGACAGGAATGCATGACACAAGGCAATATCCAGGGAAGACAAGGGCATGCGCAGATGCCCGGCGGGTCGGGGGGGTTAACTACTGTTACACAGTCTTCTATGGCAGCTAGTTGACAGCTTCCAATGAAGCTGATGGGCAGTAGGTTCAAGATGGACAAAAGGAAATACTCCTAGGCACAGAGTGATTAAAATGTGGAATTTGCTGCCAGAGGGTGTAGTGATGGCCACAGGAATACACAGCTATAAAAGGGGATTAGATAGATTCATAGTGGATAAGTCTATCAATGGCCTTAGCCATTGAGGGGAACCTCCACATTCAGAGGCACTAGTCCTCTGAATCCCAGAGCGAGGAGGCAATGTCAGGGGAAGGCCTCAGCCTCTATGCCCTATTGTTGGCCATCCAGGGTATCTGGTTGGCCACTATGTGGGACAGAATGCTGGACTAGATGGACTACTGATCTGATACAGCGGGCTGTTCTTATGTTTTTGTATCTTCTATCATTAGCATTTTTTGTTTAGGCTACTGATTTGTTATGTAACCAGGTTTTATTAATCTGCTCCCATATGAACTAAAATCTGGACTTAGATATCGGATGGTTTAAAGTAACATATTTTGTATGTGTGTGAACTCATTCATTCTTGTTTCTTCTGTGCTCCAAGCATATTAATCTTTCATCAGTGTTTGAAAAACTTTGCTTATAGATTTCACCCAAGAATCTATTCAAAATGTTAAGAGAGAAGCCCCTTTTTTCAAAATTCACTTTGCCTATTCAAGTTTCTTTCATATATAAAAATAGTATACGTTCTTACTAAGAGGCTGAAGCTGGTGCTTATCTGAGTATTTCCTTTGTGCCTCCAATTCTTTCTTTAATTTTTCACTGAGACTCAAAGTGGATACTTTCCCTTTTCTAACCAGGACTGAAGGTGCGATGGTTCGTACAATGGCTGAGTCTCCCCTTAATGCCTCCTTAAACTTCCATACAGAAACTGATAATTTATTTGGTGTAAAACCAAGGCTGGTATGAAAAAACAGATCTGCATCCCTCAAATAACTTCTGAACCACTTCTAATCTCTCTCTCTCTCTCTCTCTCTCTCTCTCTCTCTCTCTCTCTCTCTCTCTCTCTATTAGTCCCCTTACCGTAAAATCAACGCCCTGGCCAAACCACTGGACTTAGAAACACCAAATCTGGGGAGAGAACTCCTACTGTGGCGTAGGTGCTTGCTAAGAAGGGATTTTTAGAAATTCAACCCCTAAGTGGGTCAAAAGGAGGGAAATGTTTTTTTCTGTGGCCCAAACATATTAATCGTTCATCAGTGTTTGATGAAAACATCCCCCCATTGATTCCTATGCGGCTGCCAGGCAGCTGCCTCTCTGCACCCCCCACTCTCTGATTA